TAGTGTAGTGTATAGTGTAGTAGTGCAGTGTATAGTGTGGTTTAGTGTATAGTGTAGTGTGTAGTGTATAGTGTGGTGTAGTGTACAGTGTAGTGTATAGTGTATAGTGTGGTGTAGTGTATAGTGTAGTGTATAGTGTAGTGTATAGTATAGTGTAGTGTATAGTGTGGTGTAGTGTATAGTGTAGTATATAGTAGTGTATAGTGTAGTGTATAGTAGTGTAGTGTAGTGTATCGTGTAGTGTATCGTAGTGTATAGTGTACTGTATAGTGTAGCGTTTAGTATAGTATATAGTGTAGTTGTATAGTATTGTAGTGTATAGTGTAGTGTATAGTAGTGTATAGTGTAGTGTATAGTGTAGTTGTATAGTGCAGTGTATGTGTAGTGTATAGTGTAGTGTATAGTGTAGTGTATAGTGTTGTGTATAGTGTAGTATATAGTGTAGTGTATAGTGTAGTGTATAGTGTAGTGTATAGTAGTATATAGTGTAGTGTATAGTGTAGTGTATAGTGTAGTGTACAGTGTAGTGTATAGTGTAGTATACTCGTTCAGCACCACACCGATTGTGTTGTAGCGTAAACCCACTACGACATTTACAATTCGAGTACCGTGCGACGTTTCGCTGGTAACTACAACAACGACAGCACCACCACCACCACCTAGCAGCAGCAGCATCAGGCGGCAGCCACAGACTTGTGGAGAAATCCTCCTCCTGTTCCCGTCCTAAACAGGAGGGCGTTCGTGTGACGTCGTCACTTGTGAGCCAACCAGCTGCACAGGCCAGAGGAGGGGGCGGGGTGGCGGCGTCAACGCATAAATTACGATGGAGATCGATATTCTTGGTTTGGTTGTATTCACAGTTAATCAACGTTCATCACGCTCGCTGAACTCCAGACGAATTGGCACGTTTGGTTGATGTGACAAACCGCCTCCTGCGTGTTGGGGTGGCGGGCTTCACGACACATTTATATTTAGGCGATCTAACCCTAAAACAAACACCTCTGTTGTGGATACTTTAAACTATATTCTTAGGTTCTTTCGGTAAAGTCACGTAGGTAAAAACATATTAAAATTAATAAAATAAAATAAAAATAAAATAAAAATCACGACGTTTCGGAGGCAACACAAGCTTCCGTCTTCAGGTGGAACCGTCACAGCACGACTGCTGTATCAAGTAAATGAGAGATTCTAAGAGATACTACCCCGTATATATACTACTTTAAACGAATTTTATTTCACCAGATAAGGCCCCACCGGGCTATCACAACTGTTGCTCAACGAAGTCGCTCATCATCATCATCATCGTGGGGATATTTATGACAACCAAATAACTCTGAACACGTGAATCGAACTCGCAACCTCCTGTACACCAGGCGAGGTAGTTAACATCTCATAGCCACCGTAACGATGATGACAGAGAGAGACGCAAACTCCAAATATACAGCAGCAGGCGTCAGGGTCGGGATCGAACCCACGACCTCCTGTATACCAGGCAAGGTCGTTAACATCTCCTAGCCACCGTGATGATGATGAGAGAGAGACACGAAAACTCCAAATACACAGCAGGCGTCAGGGTCGGGATCTAACTGACGACCTCCTGTACACCAGGCGAGGTAGTTAACATCTCCTGGCCACCGTGGCGATGGGAGGTGGATTGCAAAGTGGAGCGGTGCGAGGGAAGAAGCGGAGAGAGAAGTGAAAGTGACCTGCAGTGTGGTGAGTGGGTGGGTGGGTGGGTGAGTGAGTCGTTGTCACCTGCAGTGTGGTGAGTGGGTGGTGAGTGGGTGAGTGAGTCGTTGTCACCTGCAGTGCGATGAGTGGAATAAAATCGGTGAGCGAGTGTGTTGTTGTCACCTGCAGTGTGGTGAGTGGGTGAGTGTGTTGTTGTGACCTGCAGTGTGGTGAGTGGGTGGGTGGGTGAGTCGTTGTGACATGCAGTGTGGTGAGTGGGTGAGTGGGTGAGTGTGTTGATGTGACCTGCAGTGTGGTGAGTGGGTGAGTCGTTGTGACCTGCAGTGTGGTGAGTGGGTGGGTGGGTGAGTGGGTGAGTGTGTTGATGTGACCTGCAGTGTGGTGAGTGGGTGAGTCGTTGTGACCTGCAGTGTGGTGAGTAGGTGGGTGGGTGAGTGGGTGGGTGAGTCGTTGTGACCTGCAGTGTGGTGAGTGGGTGAGTCGTTGTGACCTGCAGTGTGGTGAGTGGGTGAGTCGTTGTGACCTGCAGTGTGGTGAGTGGGTGAGTCGTTGTGACCTGCAGTGTGGTGAGTAGGTGGGTGGGTGAGTGGGTGGGTGAGTCGTTGTGACCTGCAGTGTGGTGAGTGGGTGAGTCGTTGTGACCTGCAGTGTGGTAAGTGGGTGGGTGAGTCATTGTGACCTGCAGTGTGGTGGGTGGGTGGGTGAGTGGGTGAGTGGGTGGGTGAGTGGGTGAGTCGTTGTCACCTGCAGTGTGGTGAGTGGGTGAGTGAGTGGGTGAGTGTGTTGTTGTGTCCTGCAGTGTGGTGAGTGGGTGAGTGTTTTGTTGTGATCTGCAGTGTGGTGAGTGAGTGTGTTGTTGTGACCTGCAGTGTGGTGAGTGGGTGGGTGGGTGAGTGGGTGAGTGGGTGAGTGGGTGGGTGGGTGAGTCGTTGTCACCTGCAGTGCGGTGAGTGGATGAGTGAGTCGTTGTGACCTGCAGTGTGGTGAGTGAGTGTGTTGTTGTGACCTGCAGTGTGGTGAGTGGGTGGTGAGTGGGTGAGTGAGTGGGTGAGTGGGTGGGCGAGTCGTTGTGACCTGCAGTGTGGTGAGTGGGTGGTGAGTGGGTGAGTGAGTCGTTGTCACCTGCAGTGCGATGAGTGGAATAAAATCGGTGAGCGAGTGTGTTGTTGTGACCTGCAGTGTGGTGAGTGGGTGGGTGAGTTGTTGTGACCTGCAGTGTGGTGAGTGGGTGAGTGAGTCGTTGTGACGTGCAGTGTGGTGAGTGGGTGGGTGAGTGAGTGGATGAGTGAGTCGTTGTGACCTGCAGTGTGGTGAGTGGGTGGGTGAGTGAGTGGATGAGTGAGTCGTTGTGACCTGCAGTGCGGTGAGTGGAATAAAATCGGTGAGCGAGCGAGTCGCTGGAGTGAATCGGTGAGCGCAGGATCATCGCCCACCACTTTAAAACTCCTCAGTTCTCTCCAGATGTCAGCAGCAGCAGCAGCTGCTGGATTTCTACTCAGGCCGACTTCGTGCTCTGTAATTTGGACAAGAGACTCAAAGTTTCTCCAATGGTCAGGTTCGCCAGATTACCAACACAGCTATCATATTACCCTCGTGGGCATCCAATGTCAAGACCGGTCACACGGGGCTGTTAGCGAGCACCTATTAGGGGTTGGGACGGTGTTGTGGCCGGCACCGCGCCCGGCCGCCTTTGTCTCCGCGAGTGGCGATGTTTACTACGCACACCGCACCAGGTACCCATTTGAGGCTGAGTCGACCTAGGGGAGGAGGCCCAAGACCGGTTCAGATCACCGTTGTTGGCCGTGAGCGGGAATCGAACTCGGATCGCCGGGTTCGTAGCGGAGCGCGCTAACCGCTACACTCCACACAGGTGCAGCACTTTCTACGCACGGGTAGGCAGGCACATACCTTCACCTTCACGTCCACACACACAGACACACACCCGGCGGTTCACCTTTAAACACATTCCACGTGGTAATTAGAAACAAGCCCTGAGGTTTTTAGGAACCCACAAATCCAGTTTACACCTTTTTTCCAATCAATCACTCTCTCTCTCTCTCCAACTCCATCGCTCAGTGACTCACTCACTTAGCAAGTCACTAATTTAACAAGTCACTCGCTCTCGAACTCACCGATTTACCAACGCACTCACTGACTCGCGTACCAAGTCATTAATTTACTAACTCACTCACTCTCCTACTCACTCACAAACTCACTCGCTCTCCAACTCGCTCACAAACTCACTCTCCTACTCACACTACCACTCACTCTCCTACTCACTCACAAACTCATTCTCCTACTCACTCACAAACTCACTCACAAACTAATTCTGCAACTCACTCACAAACTCACTCTCCCACTCACTCTCCTACTCACTCACAAACTCGCTCACAAACTCACTCACAAACTCACTCACAAACTCATTATCCTACTCACTCACAAACTCACTCACAAACTAATTCTCCAACTCACTCACAAACTCACTCTCCCACTCACTCTCCCACTCGCTCACAAACTAATTCTCCAACTCACTCACAAACTCACTCACCAACTCACTCCCTCTCCAACCCCTCCACCTCTTTCTTGCAGGCCACCTCTTTCGCCTGCCTTCTGAGCCATATAGACCTTCGGCTCCGCTCCCTCGGTGCCAACCGGTCGGTTACCATCCCCTTGAAAGAGCGCGCCGCACGTTACACACACATCGATAAGCAGCGACGACACGCAACGACACGCACGTAACATCGCGGCGTTCGAGAATTCGCCGCCGGTTTCACTTCACTAACGACAACGGTTCTTTGGCAGCGCGACAGCGCTCGCTCGTGGGTAGCTTTTATTTTCAAAAGTAGAACACAAAAGATGCCGGACCGCACGCTCCGTAACAAATGACAGCCGGGGCCAAGCACTCGCGAGTGTAGAATGTGAGCGAGCGAGCCAACGGCCGTGATGGACGTCACGGCAGTTTCACCGCGTAGGGCTTTCGCGACCGATGAAATCCATGAAAGAGGTCCATATTCTTAGGTTTTTTCGGTAAAGTCACGTAGGTAAAAAATTAAAATTTTAATTAATAAAAGTAAAATAAAATAAAAATCACGACGTTTCGGAGGCAACACAAGCTTCCGTCTTCAGGTGGAACCGTCACAGCCACGACAGCTGATATATACGGAGTGGTGCTCTTGCAATCTCTCATTTACTTGATACAGCTGTCGTGGCTGTGACGGTTCCACCTGAAGACGGAAGCTTGTGTTGCCTCCGAAACGTCGTGATTTTTATTTTATTTAACTTTTATTAATTTACATTTTTTACCTACGTGACTTTACCGAAAAAACCTAAGCATATGAATCCTTGCAGTCACGAAAGCTTCAAATCTAGAACTAAAAGAGGTGTTTTTATTGTTACACGCTTTCACTTAACTCACTCTGTTGTTGTCGTCGTTGTCGTATCCTCAAATCTTGTAACTCAATTTTAACCCACTTCCCAATGTGGTATCGACTGCAAACTTGGTATACTTATGTCATGCTGGTGACAACACTATATTCTATCATTAAAAAAATATATATGGGTCTAATTGTCCACGCTCAACTGACATTGGCTGTAATTGGCCACGGTGCCTTACGTCATGACAAGCTTCGGGGCCACTTCCTGGAGTCGTGGAGTTCTACCATTACCGGTACACTTCTTAAAAGCGCGTTTTAAAAAAAGTTTCGTTTCAACATTACTTATTCTTGGGTTAGATCGCGCATCCATAATGAAGGCCGAAAGCGGGGAGGAGGCTTTTCCACGGTTCCGGCTAATCGCCCGACAAAGCTGCTTACAGCCGTCGCAATCATCGGCGTGAACGTCACCAAGTCGCGAACGCCGCCGTGGGGTTTGAGTCTCCAACTCTACACGGCCGCCGTGGCGTTGACAAGTCGGCACCGAATCGGCGCAAGTTTGGCGCACGCGGCAAAACCGTTGCTCGCCGGCCGCGCCGGGCGGTGGCGTGTTTAGCGACGTGTTGATATTTCTATAGAATCACGCGCTCTCCAACCTGTCAAGTCTTTCACGTCCTTCCCCCGCACCTCCGATTAGCGCGTTTGGTTACGTCCGCTGAGAAAAAACTCCAACACGAGTACGGTAAAACCTTGGATTGCGAGCGAATAATTCGTTCCGGACACGTGTTTGTACTCCAAAGCACTCGTGCATCAAAGCACTCGTATATCACTTGTGATCACGTGACGCTTGGTAGACAAAACGTATACACGTACTACTCGTAATGCAAAAACTCGCTCATTTATCAAATTAATATTTATTTAAAATTTTTGCTCGTCTTGCAAAACACTCGCAGACAAAGTTACTCGCAATCCAAGCTTTCACTGTACGCACATAGATACGATTCAAACAAAACCCTCTTCATTATGCACGTGCTGTGCAAGCGGATTGCTGCGAGGCCCCGACAGCCGGACCACTGCCGGGGAGCATCGCGACATCTGGGGGCCATACCTCCCCCCCACACCGGTTGACGCAGGAGCACTCGCCTGTGCCGCGAACAAGACTCGCGGTTTGGTGCATCGCCACCCGGCGCTCAGCGATCGGTGTGGCCGGAGCGGCGATCAGCGATCGGTGTGGGCAGGCCTCAGGGTTTGGTGCATCGCCGCCCGGCGCTCAGCGATCGGTGTGGCCGGAGCGACTCTCAGCGATCGGTGTGGCCAGGCCTCAGGGTTTGGTGCACCGCCGCCCGGCGCTCAGCGATCGGTGTGGCCAGGCCTCAGGGTTTGGTGCACCGCCGCCCGGCGCTCAGCGATCGGTGTGGCCAGGCCTCAGGGCTTGGTGCATCGCCGCCCGGCGCTCAGCGATCGGTGTGGCCAGGCCTCAGGGTTTGGTGCATCGCCGCCCGGCGCTCAGCGATCGGTGTGGCCAGGCCTCAGGGTTTGGTGCACCGCCGCCCGGCGCTCAGCGATCGGTGTGGCCAGGCCTCAGGGCTTGGTGCATCGCCGCCCGGCGCTCAGCGATCGGTGTGGCCGGAGCGACTCTCAGCGATCGGTGTGGCCAGGCCTCAGGGTTTGGTGCACCGCCGCCCGGCGCTCAGCGATCGGTGTGGCCAGGCCTCAGGGTTTGGTGCACCGCCGCCCGGCGCTCAGCGATCGGTGTGGCCAGGCCTCAGGGCTTGGTGCATCGCCGCCCGGCGCTCCGGGCTTGGTGTGGCCGTGACGGCTCTCACCGCTCGGTGCGGCCGGAGTGACTCTCAGCGCTTGGTGTGGCCGGCACGGGGCTTTGTCGCCGCCGCCACCACCTTCTTCTTCTTCGTCGCGAGCGCCCGCGCCGAGGGGCACACGGCACGGTTGAGGCACTCGGCGCAGTGCGGAGCCACGGGCCGGCACGTCTGCTGCCCGAAGCCGACCATCAGCCAGTTCACCTCGCTCCACAGCTCCCTGGGGTCACAGGGTCATGCGCGGATACAAACGACCGCCATGCAAACGCTCCCGTCGAGTGAACTTTGCGGGGAGTAATACGTACGTGCCGCGTGCTGAGCGTGGTGGTTTGACACGTACGTATGCGTGTACGAAAGGCAAACTTCTTTCGCACCGTACGTAGCCGACCGCGCTAATCGGAGGTGCGGGGGGGGGAGTTTCTCAATGTTTCGGGCGCAATACATATTCCCAGTCTTTTACTCCCAGCGTGACACACTACCATCACTATGAAATTTGACTCCAAGCCCGGCTTACTCTTAACACTTGGAAAAAATGTGCCACACGTTGTTTTGAGCGTGCAAGTTTAGCTTGCACAACTCCAATTTACCCCCCCTGCAGCATAACAAAGGATGTCTTTAATCGGCTTAACTTAGCTTTCTTATCTATTTCTGCCCCCTGCATCACAAAGCTTCAGTTTGAACTCCGGGAGTTTCTCAGTCTAGATGATGATTTAAAAGTGCGTAGCTTCAGTGGCTTCCTAATAACGGTGTAGTTTATAGTAGTGTAGTGTGTAGTAGTGTATAGTGTAGTGTATAGTAGTGTAGTGTATAGTGTAGTGTATAGTGTAGTGTATAGTAGTGTAGTGTATAGTGTAGTGTATAGTAGTGTAGTGTATAGTGTAGTGTATAGTGTAGTGTATAGTAGTGTAGTGTATAGTGTAGTGTATAGTAGTAGCCCTGCGCCGCATCACGCCATGCGAGAAGTCTCCCGAAAGGATCCCTCGTCTCGCGACGCCGGCGGTGTGGCCGGACGAATGTGATGACGACGACGATGACGACGACAACGACTGACTGATGATGACAACGAGGACGATGACGACGATGGCAATCACGACGACGACGACTGACTGATGACGACGATGATGACGATGATGACGATGATGACGATGATGACGATGACGACGATGACGACGATGGCAATCACGACGACGACGACCGACTGATGACGACGATGACGATGACAATCATGACGACGACGACTGACTGATGATGACGATGATGACGATGATGACGATGATGACGATGACGACGATGACGACGATGGCAATCACGACGACGACGACCGACTGATGACGACGATGACGATGACAATCATGACGACGACGACTGACTGATGATGACGATGATGACGATGATGACGATGACAATCATGACGACGACGACTGACTGATGATGACGATGATGACGATGACGACGATGATGACGATGACAATCATGACGACGACGACTGACTGATGATGACGATGATGACGATGATGACGATGACAATCATGACGACAACGACTGACTGATGATGACGATGATGACGATGACGACGATGATGACGATGATGACGATGGCAATCACGACGACGACGACCGACTGATGACGATGACGACGATGACAATCATGACGACGACGACTGACTGATGACGACGATGATGACGATGACGACGATGATGACGATGATGACGATGGCAATCACGACGACGACGACTGACTGATGACGACGATGATGACGATGACGACGATGATGACGATGACGACGATGGCAATCACGACGACGACGACCGACTGATGACGACGATGACGACGATGATGATGATGACAATCATGACGACGACGACTGACTGATGACGACGATGATGACGATGATGACGATGACGACGATGACGACGATGACAATCATGACGACGACGACTGACTGATGACGACGATGACGACGATGACGACGATGATGACGATGACGACGATGATGACGATGATGACGATGATGACGATGATGACGATGGCAATCACGACGACGACGACTGACTGATGACGACGATGATGACGATGATGACGATGACGACGATGATGACGATGGCAATCACGACGACGACGACTGACTGATGACGACGATGATGACGATGATGACGATGATGACGATGATGACGATGACGACGATGATGACGATGATGACGATGACGACGATGACGACGATGACAATCATGACGACGACGACTGACTGATGACGACGATGACGACGATGATGACGATGACGACGATGATGACGATGATGACGATGGCAATCACGACGACGACGACCGACTGATGACGATGACGACGATGACGACGATGACGACGATGGCAATCACGACGACGACGACCGACTGATGACGACGATGACGACGATGACGACGATGACAATCATGACGACGACGACTGACTGATGACGACGATGATGACGATGATGACGATGATGACAATCATGACGACGACGACTGACTGATGATGACGATGATGACGATGACGACGATGATGACGATGGCAATCATGACGACGACGACTGACTGATGATGACGATGATGACGATGATGACGATGATGACGATGACGACGATGATGACGATGGCAATCATGACGACGACGACTGACTGATGACGACGATGATGACGATGATGACGATGATGACGATGACGACGATGATGACGATGGCAATCATGACGACGACGACTGACTGATGATGACGATGATGACGATGATGACGATGATGACGATGACGACGATGATGACGATGGCAATCATGACGACGACGACTGACTGATGACGACGATGATGACGATGATGACGATGATGACGATGACGACGATGATGACGATGGCAATCATGACGACGACGACTGACTGATGATGACGATGATGACGATGATGACGATGATGACGATGACGACGATGATGACGATGGCAATCATGACGACGACGACTGACTGATGATGACGATGATGACGATGATGACGATGATGACGATGGCAATCATGACGACGACGACTGACTGATGATGACGATGATGACGATGATGACGATGATGACGATGATGACGATGACGATCATGACGACGACGACCGACTGATGATGACAATGACGACGACGACTGACCGATGACGACAACGACGACGATGATGTACCTGGGTAGCCAGTCCTCCAGGGCGACGCGCGTCTGCTCAGGAGTGCGCGTGGCCTTGCGCACCCAGCCCAAGCGGTTAGAAATCCGATGCACGTGCGTGTCCACTCCTGTCAACGCAAAAGGCAGAGGCGAAGCTCACCTGTGTAGCCCGCAACAGACTGTTGGGGCAAGAGCATGGTAAAGTAGTGGTTTCTTACACGCTTTCTATTAACTCACTCTGTTTGTTGTTGTTGTATACTCAAATCTTGTTTTTATTATTACACGCTTTTTTTATTAACTCACTCTGTTGTTTTTGTTGTCGTTGTTGTATTCTCAAATCTTGTAACTACATTTTAACCCACTTCCCAATGTGGTATCGACTGCAGACTTGGTATACTTATGTCATACTGATGACAATACTATATTCTATCAAAAAAAAAAAAAATGTAAACATTCTTTTTTATATGCTATGTTTCGGCTTGGGTCTAATTGTCCACGCTCAACTGACGTTGGCTGTAATTGGCCACAGTCCCTTACGTTACGGCAAGCTTCGGGTCACTTCCTGGAGTCGTGGAGTTCTGCCATTACTCGTACGGTACATTTCATTAAAGCGTGTTTTTTTTTAAGTTAAAAATATATTTTTAGAAGCGACCTGGCCACAAAAGATCGCTCGACAAAGTGGCCCCAACATTTGGACATTTATAGCACCAAAATAACGTCAATAATCTTAATGCATGTTTGTAAATGTGGAAGAAAAAAATCCACTCGACCACGGGGACAACATGCATGGTGAAACAACAGAAATTCTACCCCGATATGTGCGATGGAGCTGTATACGTTAGACTTAAGATTCATAATCCTGGGGTTTTTTGGGGGGGTGTGCTGGACTAGTAACGAATTGGCCACGTTCTGTTTACTAGTAGGGTACATTTCGTTAAAGCGTGTTTTTTTTTTAATATTACTTATTTTTTCCCCTTTGGGTTAAAGCGTGTAAATATAAACGTGTCGTTAAAGCCTTTCCACCCACCCGAAACACGGCCAATGGGTGTGGGTTTGTCGCGTGAACAAAACGTGCCAGTTAGTTGCTGCTTCTCAGCACCACCGGGTGCGTTGGTGAACAAACGCACAACGTTTACGAGATGAGTGCCGTGGCGTTTCGCTGCTGATTACAACCAGGCTTCACCAGGTGATCTGCCAGAATTGGCATTCATAATTGCGCCATCTAACCCCAAAAAAACTTTCCGTTATGAATATTGGTCGCGAAAGCGTGCTACGTGTTAAGTGCCTCTGACAAGGGTGGTGGCGAGACTTTAACTACCTCGCCTGGTACACGGGAGGTCGTGGGTTCGATCCCGACCCCGACACCTGCTGCATGTTTGGAGTTTGTGTCTCATGGATTTTTCTCCGGGTCTTCCAGTTTTTCCCTCCACACTTAGAATCAACATCGTGTTTAGATTGTTTGGCTTCTACAAATCTCCACACGATGATGAGCCACTTCGTTGAGTTGCTCTCATTTGCGTTGGGCAGGTGGCTTCTGAGAAAGTGATCACACAACTCAGTGCGCCTTAGCTGGTGAAATAAAAAATAGTTCAAAGTGTCACTGTGGGTGTTACAATCGCAGAAACGAACAGGGTGGGCTGCTGGATATCAACCGCACAACTCATGTCAGATGGTCACCACAGTGGAGAGATCATGCCAGGTGGGTGGGTGGGGGGGCAGCGAGGCCTCACCGATGCCGGACACCTCGTCCCAGGCGATGTCCATGACGAGGTGGGCCATCTTGGGGCCCACGCCGGGCAGCTTGACGAGCTCGGACACGGAGCGAGGGATGTCGCCGCCAAACTGCGCCAGCAGCAGCTCTGTCGTGCGCCGGATGTAGCCCACCTTGGTCTGCGGAGGGACGCACACGGAAGCCAACGACCTCCCCCCCCCCCCTCGCGTAGCCTCGACAGAACGTCGGCGGCAAGTGCCGTTAGAGTGTACATACAGTTCTAGATTTGAAGCTTTCGTGACTGCAAGGATTCGTATTCTTAGGTTTTTTCGGTATTTTTATTTTACTATTATTAATTTTAAAATTTTACCTACGGCAATGAGAGCTGTATCGGAGGCGGCAGAAGGCAGCAGTCAGTGGCTCTGGATGAAGAGGAAAGACCCCAGCTGGGCCCCAAAGTGAGAGGGCCAGGAGGTATGCAGTCAACAATGCTTGACTCAGGGAGGAGGACGCCCCTGCCATGCATAGTCCCATGGGATGTTGGCTATCAACAACAAGGCAACTCCTATGACTAATTGGGAATGGGACGCAAGCGTAGGATTGATCACCCTGTCGCTGGCCGCCTTTGGGGAGGGTGTATAGTATGAAAGGCCGAAACACCCTGGGAACCAAAGGTTCACTACTGACGATGCGCTCCCCAAATTTCACCAGGCTCACTGTTTATGAACTCTTGGAAGTGCTTGCACAAAGGATAGTAACATCTCATCCTGTGTTCTTTGGAATCAGCTGACCGTCTGGAACGCTCTCTCCTGCCGATATGAGGAAGCCACTGGAGCTGTACACTTTTACATCATCGTCTAGATCAGGGGCGGGGGACCTTGTTTCTGCCAAGGGCCATTTGGATATTTACAACATCATTCGCGGGCCATGCAAAATTATCAACTTAAAAATTAGCCTGTTATTTTTGCTCAAACATTTAATTAACTCGCCCCTAATGCGATGGCTGGAACTGCTTCTCTTAATTGGCGAGGCGTGTGATGTTAGCTGGTATTGATGATGTTGCTGCTACTCGCAACTGCTTTGCCAGGTTTGCTCCTAGATTTGTTGAATTTCGAGTCCCGCCTGCGGTTGCCTTGGCAGGGCCAGACCAAATGATTTCGCGGGGCCTCGTACGACCCGCGGGCCAGACGTTCCCCACCCTGGCCTAGAGAATGACAAACTCATCTCTTTAGAACTGCTCGTTGTTTCATCGTCGCACACAAGCACCGTCGCCGCACGTACAACAGCTGCGTTAATAGGAGAGACTTACAGCCTATTGAACAGCGGGAGCAACCGTTACGTCGAGGCGAAAGAGGTGCAAGCGGTGGCTGTGTTAGTGAAGGTAGCGTGTCTGTGTCAGAGGACCGGGCACAGCGCCACCTCGTGGGCAACACGAGCTGCGCCGTTGGCTGCTGCACGGTGAGAGGCCGACGTATAAAAGCCAGAGAACCACCGTAACGGTGGCCGTGCCGGTGAGATTTTAGAGTCGGAAATGACTGCTAACATCACAGCAAGTTATGACTTACCTGGTTAGTAAAATCCTTCCAATGATTGTATAATAACATCCTTCCTTCTTGCCCTTGGGTGACGCCCACCTCAAACCTATACCACCTCTGGTTGCAACAGCCCTGTCTTGTTCAGCAGTTCTGCTGCTGCTGCTGTCTTTCTGCCTGATGACGATTGCTTGTGTTGCGATCGAAACGTCGTGATTTTTGGTATTTTCTACCCACGTGATTTTACCGAAAGAACCAAAGAGTATGGATTCCTGCAGCCACGAAAACTTCTAATCGAGATTACTTGATTTTTAGCGCGGTTGTCTGCGTACGGTGCTATAGAAGTTCAACATACAATACATACAGTGGTGACCGAGCTCGGCTGACTGATGAGACCTGTCCGGATTTGGTCTGTGAGAAAGATTTACACATCGTAAACATCACCACCACCACGTCAGCAATTTCCATCATCATCATCATCAATCGCCACTCCTTGTGACTTGCGTCTACAGATGGCGAGTGACTTTCATCATCACGACCAACCAAACAAGATAAAGATGCCCCGTGTAGCCTGTAATAGACTGTAGGGGCAAGTGCTGTTCATGAGCAGCACCTGTGAAGGCCGGCACGGCACACGAGGGGGGTGTGGGTGGCCAGCACCACGCCCGGCCGCCTTCGTCTCCCCAGTAGCGTTGTTTGCATACCGCACCAGGTACTCATTTGAGGCTGAGTCCACATAGGGGAGGAGGCTCAGGACCGTAGTGGTGGCCGTGATCGGGAATCGCGAACCGCGACACGACCCTCTGTGCTAATCGTAGGTACGGGGGGGGCGGGGGGGCAGCAAACTAGACACAACAACAACAACAAGCAGTTTTTATTATTATATTATTTTATAATGTTTTATTTTTATTATTTTATTACTTCCCTTCTACGTGACTTTACCGAAAGAACCAAGAAGAACAACAAGCAGCTCTAAAGAAATTAGTTTATCAATCTCGATGATGATTTAAAATCGGCGTAGCTCCCAGAGGCCCTCTAAATAACTCGGGGCCATTCTAGATTTGAAGTTTTCGTGACTGCAAGGATTTCGGTAAAATCACGTAGAGGTTAAACTAGAAAACAAATAAGTTAAATCACGACGTTTCCATCTTCAAGACGGAGGCTTGTGTTGCCTCCGACACTTCGTGATTTAATTAATTTGTTTTCTTTTTTAACCTACGAAACTCGGGGCCAGTTCTAAAGAAATGGGCGGGTGGGCGAGTGAGATGGCGGTTGAATGAGGGGGTCGGTCGGTTCGTGAGATCGTCTGGGCGAGTTGGTAAATGACTGGGTGAGATGGGCGAGTGAGAAACTCGATGTCGCTTGGAGCTTGATGTTGCTTCGATGTTGCTTGTAGCCCTGGTGATACCGCAAGAGGCCAAGATGCATCTAATTTGCCAGAGTGCGTACGTGTGTCGTATGTACGTTGAACTTCTTTTGCAACGTACATAGCCAAACGTGCTAATTGGAGGTGCGGAGAAACGTCAACAAACTAAACACAAAATGCAGTTCTGAAGAAATGGGTGGGCGAGTGAGACGGCGACTGAATGAGTTACTGAGATTGTGGGCGAGTCAGTAAGTGAGATGGGCGAGATGCGAGTTCGACGTTGCCTGTAGCCTTGGCGACACCTCAGAGGTCGCAAACGGGTTTTGATTCCTTACCCCCGTACCCGTACCCGGCCGCACCAGGGTCGCAAACGGGTACCCGTACCTGTACCCGGCCGTACCCGTACGGGTATCGGGTAGGGTACGGGTATCGGGTACCCGATTGCGACCTCTGGGATGAAGCCATGTTGCAGGCGTGGGTGGGTTGATTCTAGGAACTTGAATTGTGAGAAGAGACAAGACGTTGGGAAATGAGTGACAAACGGTTACTCACCAGTGACTCACGGTCTACCCGTACCCAGCCGCACCAGGGTCGCAAACGGGTACCCGGCTACCCGTACCCGGCCGGGTACCCGGCTACCCGTACCCGGCCGGGTACGGGTAGCCGGGTATCGGGTAGGGTACGGGTATCGGGGGGTACCCGGTTGTGACATCTGCGACACCTCAAGGGGCCAGGATGCCAATGGGAGTGACCCCCTTTCAATCGAGCACAAATCGCCGTCACCGTTAATCGCGATTCACACGAAAGACGCCGGCTAGGCACGGGGCTCAGGTGGTGGGGGGCCGGGGGGGGGGGGGGGGCGGGGTGAGACACCTTCCAGAAGCCGACGGGGTAGATGAGGCGGCCGAGCATGGCGTCGTCGGTGCCGGCGACGTTCAGCGGCGTGAGGCCGTGGCCTCGGAGCCTCGCCATCGCCGCGGACGTCACCTGGTCCTTGGTCTGGCTCGACAGCATCAGCGACACCAACACCTGGTAGCGGCGCACCTGCTCACGCAAACGCAGAGATCCCCGCCGCACCACCACCCCGCCGCACCACCATAGCCTTCACGAGCTGTCCGGGGCAAGCGCTGCAACAGCGAGAGGCCTGTGAAGTTTCGATTTAAAGCTTCTTTCGTGACTGCAGGGATTCATCTTCTTGGTTCTTTCGGTAAAAGTCACGTAGAGTGGAAATAATAAAATAATAAAAATTAAACATAATAAAGTACAAGTCTCACGACGTTTTGGCCACAACGCAAAAGCAGCCGGCTTCAGTTGGAGAACAGGTCTGTCGAGAAGACAGCGTCTGAATTCAGACTACGGGTTCCCAATCCTCAGTTGGAGAACAGGTCTGTCGAGAAGACAGCGTCTGAATTCAGACTACGGGTTCCCAATCCTCAGGTGGAGAACAGGTCTGTCGAGAAGACAGCGTCTGAATTCAGACTACGGGTTCCCAATCCTCAGTTGGAGAACAGGTCTGTCGAGAAGACAGCGTCTGAATTCAGACTACGGGTTCCCAATCCTCAGTTGGAGAACAGGTCTGTCGAGAAGACAGCGTCTGAATTCAGACTACGGGTTCCCAATCCTCAGGTGGAGAACAGGTCTGTCGAGAAGACAGCATCTGAATTCAGACTACGGGTTCCCAATCCTCAGGTGGAGAACAGGTCTGTCGAGAAGACAGCGTCTGAATTCAGACTACGGGTTCCCAATCCTCAGTTGGAGAACAGGTCTGTCGAGAAGACAGCGTCTGAATTCAGACTACGGGTTCCCAATCCTCAGTTGGAGAACAGGTCTGTCGAGAAGACAGCGTCTGAATTCAGACTACGGGTTCCCAATCCTCAGTTGGAGAACAGGTCTGTCGAGAAGACAGAGTCTGAATTCAGACTACGGGTTCCCAATCCTCAGTTGGAGAACAGGTCTGTCGAGAAGACAGCGTCTGAATTCAGACTACGGGTTCCCAATCCTCAGTTGGAGAACAGGTCTGTCGAGAAGACAGCGTCTGAATTCAGACTACGGGTTCCCAATCCTCAGGTGGAGAACAGGTCTGTCGAGAAGACAGCGTCTGAATGAGACTCTGTCTTCTCAGACAGAGTTCTCGACAGACCTGGTCTCCACCTGAGGACGGCTGCTTGCGTTGTGGCCGAAACGTCGTGAGAATTATTTTATTATGTTTTATTTTTATTTTATTATTTCCCTTCTACGTGACTTTACCGAAAGAACTAAGAAGATGAAGGCCTGTGAAGGCCGCGGCCGTGTGTTGATGATTTCCTCGCTCCGGCTTTCGCCACGCAACCACTTAACCCGGGGCACCTTCAATTCTTTGTTTTCCTTCTCCCTCTACGTTTGCGGCGCTGGTGTGTGTTTTGTATCGTTTGCTGTTGTTACTCGCTGGCCCCGGAGCCCCGACTGAACATCTGCGAGAAAGAGCTTTATAACTCATCGGATTCCTTCCAGAGATTCGGATTCCAAATGATCGCTCAACGAAAGTGGCTCATCATCATCGCGTGGAAATGTAGAGCAGCCGAAACGCGCAGTGACGTTGATTCTAAACGTGGAGGGCAAAACCCGGAGGACCCGGAGAAAAATCCACGTGACCACGGGGAGAGAGAGACGCAAACTCAAAATACAGTAGACTCTCGATTATCTGTGTGCGGTTTATCCGATTTGCAAATTAACCGCGAGATTTTGACGTACATTAATGGCTCGTGGATTTTCCCTTAAGCCCACATTAATCATCTAAAAAAACTTAGAAGTTGTTTCTCAAAGTCACGTGCTTAAATCGAAGAAATGTTGCTCCGGTTAATCCGAAACCCACGTGAGATCGCCTCTACAGTACAGTAGTTGCCATGTCTTTACAACAGTGGGCGGAGTTTGATTGATGTTGATTTGCGTGGTTCTGCTGCTGTCACCCACTTAGCGGGCCAAGTCTTCCACGTGGGAGCCAGGAAAGTGTCATCACTGAGCACGCCAGAGATCGATCCATCGACCATTAGTATTGGTTCACTAACAAACAACATTTCCTTAACTTAAACATAATTTATACCTACGTGGTTGTTTGGCATAGACATGCGCGGAAAATGATTATATTTTCGGATGATCCACGATTTAGAAATATCTGCCACCGTCCTCCCCATCAATAGCGTGGATGCCCGCAAGTCGACTACATACAGCACACATCATCACGGTTGCGATCGAACCCACGACCTCCTGCACACCAGGCGAGGCAGTTAACATCTCCTCGCCACCGTGATGATGATGAGAGAGACACGCAAACTCCAAATATACAGCAGCAGGCATCAGGGTCGGGATCGAACCCACGACCTCCTGTATACCAGGCGAGGTCGTTAACATCTCCTAGCCACCGTGATGATGATGAGAGAGAGAGAAACACGCAAACTCCAAATATACAGCAGCAGGCATCAGGGTCGGGATCGAACCCACGACCTCCAGCACACCAGGCGAGGCAGTTAACATCTCCTAGCCACCGTGATGATGATGAGAGAGAGAGACACGCAAACTCCAAATATACAGCAGGCGTCAGGGTCGGGATCGAACCCACGACCCCCTGTACACCAGGCGAGGTAGTTAACATCTCCTAGCCACCGTGATGATGATGAGAGAGACACGCAAACTCCAAATATACAGCAGCAGGCGTCAGGGTCGGGATCGAACCCACGACCTCCAGCACACCAGGCGAGGTAGTTAACATCTCCTCGCCACCGTGCAATGCTTAGGCTTCTAACCGGCGCGGTGCCACCGCCCGGCGCACGTGTTGCCGTACCGCGGGCGCGGCGTCTTCGTCGTGGCACTTCTCGGCGCCCATGTGGTCGACGGGGGCGTCGCGATGCTGCCGCATCCGCCTCACGTGGTCCAGCTGAGTCCTCCAGTGGGGCGGCTCCCACGGGCCTCCCGCCCTCTGCCTCCTCTTCCCCTCCTTCTCCTCCTGCTCTTCCTTCCTCTCTTCCTTGACCTCCTTCACCTCTTCCTTCACCTTCACCTCCTCCTCCTCCTCCTCCTTGAGCTGCTCCTTGCGAGCCGTCGCGCCAACTCGGGTCTCGCCGACGCGTTCTTGTGACGCGGCGGCACGATGCCGTTTCATTTGGCGACACGAAAAAAAGTTTGTCACCGCGCGACGGCAATTTTCATGGCAAGATACGGTGCTCGTGTGCCGTGAGAAACAAAAAATTACAGGGCGTCAATTTTCACAACGTACACGGCATCGAATTTGGCGATAAGATACGGCACCGTTTTTCGCGGTGCGATCTCAAATTTTCATGCTACGGTGCTGATGTACCGTGGAAAAAATGTACAGGGTGCCAATCTTCACAACACGACACGGCATCGAATTTGGCGATAAGATACGGCACCGTTTTTCGCGGTGCGATCTCAAATTTTCATGCTACGGTGCTGATGTACCGTGGAAAAAATGTACAGGGTGCCAATCTTCACAACACGACACGGCATCGAATTTGGCGATAAGATACGGCACCGTTTTTCGCGGTGCGATCGAAATTTTCATGCTACGATGCTGATGTACCGTGGAAAAAATTACAGGGTGTCACTCTTCAATTTTCGCGGTGCGATCTCAAATTTTCATGCTACGGTGCTGATGTACCGTGGAAAAAATGTACAGGGTGCCAATCTTCACAACACGACACGGCATCGAATTTGGCGATAAGATACGGCACCGTTTTTCGCGGTGCGATCGAAATTTTCATGCTACGATGCTGATGTACCGTGGAAAAAATTACAGGGTGTCAATCTTCACAACACGATACGGCATCGTGTTTGGCGATAGGATACGGTGATGTTTTTCACGATGCGATTTTCATTTTCAATGCACGATGGAAATCTTCAGGATAAATCGTGACATGAATATTCCCGCGACGCTGTAATCTTTCACGTCGTAGATTTCCACGACAAGGTAGTAATTTTCACGATGCGACGATTTTCGCGATGTCAGTTTCGCCCTTAACTTTGTACGTGCACATCAATGTGATGGGTGGCGCTTTGGGTGGCAGATTTGTGCCAGGAAAGGCGCCACAAGTGAATTTCGATTTAAAGCTTTCGTGACTGCAGGGATTCATCTTCTTGGTTCTTTCGGTAAAGTCACCACGTAGAATGGAAATAATAAAATAATAAAAATAAAACATAATAAAATGCAATTCTCACGACGTTTCGGCCACAACGCAAGCAGCCGTCCTCAGGTGAAAAACAGGTCTGTCGGAAAGACAGCGTCCGAATGAACACGACCAAGCTTGGCAGCGTATATTTAAGCTGGGTAAAAAAGGTGTCCTCCCCTAACCCAGCTTAAATATACGCTGCCAAGCTTGGTGGTGTTCATTCAGACGCTGTCTTTCCGACAGACCTGTTCTTCACCTGAGGACGGCTGCTTGCGTTGTGGCCGAAACGTCGTGAGAATTGTATTTTATTATGTTTCATTTTTATTATTTTATTATTTCCATTCTACGTGGTGACTTTACCGAAAGAACCAAGAAGGCGCCACGAGTGTTTAACGGAAAAAAAGCTAAAAGCTAAAATAAAGTAACTTCATCGGTACCGAGGCTCCCACAAGGGGCACGTGGGAGGGAGTGAGTGGCACAGCTTGGCGCCAGCTACCGTAGGGTGCGGTGGTCGTGTCTCTACGGTTCCTTGTGGCCTTTAAAATACCAAATCGAATGCCGAGCCCGCTCGCGCGAACTGGGACCCACGCTGCAACGTGCAGACATCTCTGAACGGCAAAGAATTCAAGAAAAATTGAAACATTTCGCTCGACTCAAGCCGCGGAAGCTCACCGTCGATGTGGCCGTGGTCCCTCTCGTCATACTCCACTTTGACGGGCGGGAAACGTCCGGGGCGGCCGCCACGTTCACGTCGGGGGCCGCCGCCGCCGTCTGGCGAGGCTCGCTCCGGCGCCGAGACCGCCCAGGCCGACCGGCCGCTGCGGGTCAGCATCCCCACAGGGCCACCAGCGGTGAAGTACGGGGACGTGGTGGACATGGGTGCGGCGGCGGTGGACGCCGAGTCGGCCGCGGAGGCTGTGCGAGCCCGGTGGCTGCGGTGGAGTTGGGCGGTATCGGCGGAGACGAGACGACTCCTCACGAGACGCTGTGGTCACCGCACGGCGAGCGAGTGTTTGATAAGGGGGCATTAGAAAGCGAGTAGCAGCACCTATGAAGGGCGCGCGAGGGGGTGGGTGGCCAGCATCACACTCGTCCGCCTTTGTCTGCCCAGCGCAGCAGGTAAAAACGATTAATTAAATTTCGATTTAAAGCTTTCATGACTGCAGGGATTCATCTTCTTGGTTCTTTCGGTAAAGTCACGTAGAAGGGAAATAATAAAATAATAAAAATAAAACATAATAAAATAATTCTCACGACGTTTCGGCCACAACGCAAGCAGCCGTCCGCTTGCGTTGTGGCTGAAACGTCGTGAGACTTGTATTTTATTATGTTTTATTTTTATAATTTTATTACTTCCCTTCTACGTGACTTTACCGAAAGAACCAAGAAGAACAATCAATTACTTTTTATTTTACCAGGTAAGGCCCACTGAGCTATGTAGCTCGTTTTCAGAAGCGACCTGGCCACAAATGATAGCGGCTCAACAAAGTTGATTATCACGCAGAAATGTAGAGCAGCCAAATACTCTGAAAGCATTATTCTAAATGTGGAGAGGAAAACCGGAGGATCCGGAGAAAAATCCACGCGATCACGGGGAGACACGCAAACTCCAAATATACAGCAGCAGGCGTCAGGGTCAGGATCGAACCCACGACCTCCTGTACACCAGGCGAGGTAGTTAACATCTCCTAGCCACCGTGATGATGAGAGAGAGAGAGACGTGCAAACTCCAAATTTACAGCAGCAGGTGTCAGAGAGTCCCATATAAGTGTTCACATTTGAAGCATCCTGTATAGCTCAGTGGGCCTTACTTGTCAAAATAAAAATAGTTTAAAGTTTAAAGTCATTCAGACGCTGTCTCCCCGACAGACCTGGTCTTCACCTGAGGACGGCTGCTTGCGTTGTGGCCGAAACGTCGTGAGAATTGTATTTTATTATGTTTTATTTTTCTTATTTTATTATTTCCCTTCTACGTGACTTTACCGAAAGAACCAAGAAGATGAATCCCTGCAGTCACGAAAGAAGCTTTAAATCGAAAAAGATGAACTTTACATTATGAGACCTCCTTTGTCAGTAGCAAGATATAGTCATAGGTTTTTACACTTTTATCTGGCACCAAAACTGACACATTTATACAATGCATCATGTTTGCAATAACCACAACACAAGCAGTCAAAATACAAACAAAAATAAACAACTCTGATGATAATGATATGCACTGTCCTTGAAGTTGATTGGTCCACACCCGAGACAGCTTTCTTAGAGCCTAGTCTCCATTGGTGTTGGACCAGATGACGCCAAAAGGCGCACAACTCAAAGACAATGCACCATCAGAGTATGAGAGCTCGGGGTAAGCATTTACACCATTGGAACCTCATTTGCCAGTAGCAAAATATGATAATTGTTTTTTTACCCTTTTATCTGGCAACAAAATTGACACCTTCTTTACAAGGAGTCATGTTTGCATTGACCACAATACCTGCAGTCGGAATGCAAACAAAACACACAACTCTGATGATGATATGCACCATCCTTGAAATTAATTGGTCCACACCCGAGACAGCTTTTCTTAGAGCCTAGTCTCACGTGGTGTTGGACCAGATGACGCCAAAAGGCATTCCAAGATAAACTTGGAACTCTGAAACCAGTGCAACCGCTGCCGTGAGTGTGACACTCAACTCACATTATTCTTTGGTTCTTTCGGTAAAGTCACGTATAAAGATAAAAATATAAATTAAATTAAATACTAGCATACGACGTTTCGATTGCAACACAAGCAATCATCATCAGGTATAAATGAAATAGAAACACAAATCTAGTACAGTGATACCTCGGTTCACGAACGCTTCTGTTCACAAACAACTCGGTTCACGAACAGAAAAGTTCATAAAAATATGCTCCGGTTCATGAACTCCGCTTCTGTTCACGAACAACTCGGTTCACGAACAACTCGGTTCACGAACGCTTCTGTTCACGAACAACTCGGTTCACGAACAGAAAAGTTCATAAAAATATGCTCCGGTTCACGAACTCCGCTTCTGTTCACGAACAACTCGGTTCACGAACAACTCGGTTCACGAATGCTTCTGTTCACGAACAACTCGGTTCACGAACAGAAAAGTTCATAAAAATATGCTCCGGTTCACGAACTCCGCTTCTGTTCACGAACAACTCGGTTCACGAACAGAAAAGTTCATAAAAATATGCTCCGGTTCGCGAACTCCGCTTCTGTTCACGAACAACTCGGTTCACGAACAACTCGGTTCACGAATGCTTCTGTTCACGAACAACTCGGTTCACGAACAGAAAAGTTCATAAAAATATGCTCCGGTTCGCGAACTCCGCTTCTGTTCACGAACAACTCGGTTCACGAACAACTCGGTTCACGAATGCTTCTGTTCACGAACAACTCGGTTCACGAACAGAAAAGTTCATAAAAATATGCTCCGGTTCGCGAACTCCGCTTCTGTTCACGAACAACTCGGTTCACGAACAACTCGGTTCACGAATGCTTCTGTTCACGAACAACTCGGTTCACGAACAGAAAAGTTCATAAAAATATGCTCCGGTTCGCGAACTCCGCTTCTGTTCACGAACAACTCGGTTCACGAACAGAAAAGTTCATAACAACACGCTCCGGTTCACGAACTCCGCTTCTGTTCACGAACAGGAGCCGCGGCCATTTTAATGCTATTTCCAGGCTGTCACGTGGTCGTGACTTCCTGTAGGAAGATCGTGGAGAGAAGAAGAGACACAGAAAGAGAAGTACTGTGAGTACTGTGAAGACACTTTCAGTGACTTTTTGCTTTTTGGTGTGCTTTTTAGCACATACAGTACTGTACTACTGTACTGTACAATACTGTACTTACTGTATTGTACAGTTCACCCGTTTGAATGCTTACTGAAGTCATCTCAAGCAAGGTTAGTGTTCTCTCTTTATACATTACTATACTGTACAGTACTAATGTGTATTGTAATGTGTTTCATATTTTTGTGCTTCAAAAACCCCCAAAAAAAGTCAGAACGGATTAACCGGATTTACATTGAACCCTGTGGGGAAATGTGCCTCGGCTCACGACCAATTCGGTTCGCGACCAGAGTCAGTTCACGAATTAAGTTCGTGAACCGAGGTATCACTGTATACTTAGAAATGTAATGTAATACAACAGAGAGTCAGATAACATCACAGTCAACTCACACGCAGCATCGGCAGCGCTGCTCCAGGCCGCTCAGTCCACGTCACGAGCTCCGCCTCGTGCTTGCTCATCAGCAGCACGACGTGGCTACGAGGAGGCTCAACCTGCCGGGAGATCGACATGCCAAGGGGCAAGGTCAAGGGTTAAAGGGTAAAGGTAGCTCAGAAGAATTGCCCTGTAGGGTAAACGTAGCGCGAATAATTACCCGGTAAATACGGTGCCTAGTTTACCGCTAGAAGCTCCGTGGCGCAGTCCGTGGCCTCAATTTTAAATTGCGATCATTGATGTCGGACCAGATGGAGACGGTCCACGTTCTTGAGGTAGAGGCACTAGAGGACGAGGTCAAGGATGCCAGCAACGGCATCTTTGGGGTTGCTGCGAACAGCAATCGAAAGAGGCAGCGGGTAATTGTGTATGGGGTAAGAGTAAAAGGTAGGGTAAAAGGTAGGCTCGTTGCTTTTTACCTTACCTGCTAAGGGTAAAAGGTAGGGTAGAGCGATTGTATTGTGGTAAGGTATAAGGTAGGCTAAAGGTAGTCTTCTTCTTGGTTCTTTCGGTAAAGTCACGTAGAAGGGAAGTAATAAAATAATAAAAATAAAACATAATAAAATAAAATAATTCTCACGACGTTTCGGCTACAATGCAAACTACTATACAGTTCACCTGAAGACGGCTGCTTGCGTTGTAGCCGAAACGTCGTGAGAATTATTTTATTTTATTGTGTTTTATTTTTATTCTTTTATTACTTCCCTTCTACGTGACTTTACCGAAAGAACCAAGAAGATAAATCCCTGCAGTCACGAAAGCTTTAAATCAAAATTAAAGGTAGTCTTGTTTTTTTTACCGTTTAATTTTTACCTTACCTTGCCGAGGGCTACCTGGCAGACCATGGGTAAACGATTCCTCAAGCTCAGCTTTTCGGTTTACTTCAAAGTACCCTGTGAGTTAAGAAGCTCCGACCGCAGTCGGGTTTCATCACGGCAAGGGAGGGAATTTCACAGCCCATCCGTGTGCGGTCCACCAACCCTCGATGACGCGTCATCTTCTTGGTTCTTTCGGTAAAGTCACGTAGTAGGGAAGTAATAAAAAAAAATGTTTATTTTTATTATTTTTTTACTTCCCTACTACGTGACGTTACCGAAAGAACCAAGAAGATGAATCCCTGCAGTCACGAAAGCTTTAAATCGAAAGTTGATACGTCTCTACGTTGGGGGACGACTGCTGTGTGTTTCCTTGCTGTGTGGTCTGAAACCGTTTTTGTTTTGGGGGCATTGCCCAACGGGATTTATATAATGAACGCATTACAGCAAAACCTTGGATTGCGAGCGAATAATTCGTTCCGGAAACGTGTATCAAAGCACTCGTACATAAGTTGTGATCACGTGACGCTCGGCAGACAAGGCGTATAACTGCACGTATTGCTCGTATTGCAAGATGTCGCTCGTTTATCAAGTTAATATTTTCTTGGTTCTTTCGGTAAAGTCACGTAGAAGGGAACCAGGTCTGTCTTCCCGACAGACCTGGTTTCACCTGAGGACGGCTGCTTGCGTTGTGGCCGAAACGTCGTGAGAATTATTTTGTAATGTTTTATTTTAATTATTTTATTATTTCCCTTCTACGTGATGACTTTACCGAAAGAACCAAGAAGATGAATCCCTGCAGTCACGAAAGAAGCTTTAAATCGAAAGTTGATATTTATTAAAAAAGTTTGCTCGTCTTACAAAACGCTCGCAGACCAAGTTACTCGCAATCCAAGGTTTTCCTGTATTTGTATTTAGTGACCCCGCTCACGATGTGTCTCTTATGTTGCACTCCGCTCTTTGTGCGTGCGCGTCGGTTGCTGTTGTAGCTTGCCCGAGAGCTTAATAGCTCATCGGATTCCTCCTGCAGTCCGAATCAAGATTCTGATTCGAGGCCACGTGTACAGCCACGTGCCACCACCACAGCCCGGCTATTATAAACTAGAGTTGAAGCTTTCGTGACTGCGAGGATTCATATTCTTGGGTTTTTTCGGTAAAGTCACGTAGGTAAAAAATTTTAAATTTAAATTTACTTGATACAGCTGTGACAGTTTCACCTGAAGACGGAAGCTTGTGTTGCCTCCGAAACGTCGTGATTTTATTGTTTTTATTTTTTATTCATTTCATTTTTTACCTACGTGACTTTACCGATAGAACTAAGAGTACAGCAATCGTGCTGTGACGGTTCCACCTGAAGACGGAAGCTTGTGTTGCCTCCGAAACGTCGTGATTTTTATTTTATTTTTATTAAATGTTTTACCTACGTAACTTTACCGAAAAAACCCAAGAATATTATACACTATTTTATTTTATTTTACCAAGTTAACGCCCACCGAGTTATGGAGTGGCTCTCTTTCAGAAGCGACCACCTGGACATCACAGATGATTTCGATTTAAAGCTTTCGTGACTGCAGGGATTCATCTTCTTGGTTCTTTCTGTAAAGTCAAGTAGAAGGGAAGTAATACAATAATAAAAATAAAACATAATAAAATAATTAAATTTCGATTTAAAGCTTTCGTGACTGCAGGGATTCATCTTCTTGGTTCTTTCGGTAAAACTCACGTAGAAGAAAAACAATAAAATAATAAAATATAATAAAACGTAATAAAATAATATAATTTAATTTTATTATGTTTCATTTTTATGATTTTATTATTTTCCTTCTACGTGACTTTACCGAAATAACCAAGAAGATTACAGATGATAGCTCAACAAAGTGGCATCATCATCATCAGCATCGTCGCGTGGAAATGTATCACAGCCAAACGCTCTAAACGCGTGATGTGGAGTCTAAATGTGGAGGACACGGAGACAAATCCACGCGTCCATGGGGAGAGACACGAAGAGTCCAAATATACAGCAGCAGTTGTCAGGGTTGGGATGGAACCACGATCTCCTGTGTACCAGGCGAGGTAGTTAACATCTCCTAGCCACCGTGATGATGATGAGAGAGAGACACGCAAACTCCAAATATACAGCAGCAGGTGTCATGGGTTGGGATGGAACCACGATCTCCTGTGTACCAGGCGAGGTAGTTAACATCTCCCAGCCACCGTGATGATGATGATGAGAGAGACACGCAAACTCCAAATATACAGCAGGCGTTAGGGTCGGGATGGAACCCACGACCTCCTGCACACCAGGCGAGGTAGTTAACATCTCATAACCAATGTGATGATGATGGTGATGGAACCCACGACCTCCTGTGTACCAGACGAGGTAGTTAACATCTCATAGCCACCGTGATGATGATGAGAGAAGCAAACTCCAAATATACATCAGTCAGGGTCGAGATGGAACCCACGACCTCCTGTGCACCAGGCAAGGATAGTTCAACATCTCATAGCCACCGCAGCGCCCACCTATTACCGCTGCGTGGCTCAACTTGTCACGAAGAAAGACGCGAATTCAATCCACGCACAAAGAAAAGAGTTCCGGGCGAGTTCCCAGCGCGCGCGACCGCCTCACCGCCCGCCGCGCTCCATCCGCTGCGCGCGTGCAACCCCAAGGGGGGGGTTGTTTACACGGGAAGACCGCTCCGCGCGGTGACGTCACCCGCCTGACCTTTGAACCCCCGGGACTTTTTTATATAAAGTTATACAGAATTTTTTTTTTTAAACGTGAACGGTTATTAAATCCTTACCGTTTTAGTTCGTTGTTTCACAAGTAATGTAAATTATCGTGAGGTGAATATTTAGTGTTTCCTTTGACGTCGTCGGTGAAGAGCCAATCACGAGCCCGCCCGGGCGTCACGTGGGTCACGGCTGAAAAAGGCGGGAAACTGAAACGTGACGTCGTGAATTTGTCGGTAAAGTCACGTGGGTAGACAAATAAAAATAATAATTAAATAAAAATGAAAATAAATAAATTAAAGAACGACGTTTCGGGCGCAAAACAAGCGTCCGTCATCAGGTGGGAAATGGGCCGTCCATAAATGACGTCACGCGATTTTGGACGATTTTTGACCCCCCCCCCCGCCCCCATTCGTCACATGACGTCACAAAAAGTCAGACCCCCCCCCTTCAAATATGACGTCACAAAGCTCTGCCCCCCCCTTCAAATATGACGTCACAAAGCTCTGCCCCCCCCTTCAAATATGACGTCACAAAGCTCTGCCCCCCCTCCCTCCCCAAAAAAACTAAACATGCTTCAAATCGCTGTAAACTATCGTCATTGTAGTGCGTATTCAATGTGGCGCTGCACTCTGATGTTGTAGGAGAAAACATTTATTAAAAAGTCTATTTAATTAAGTAGAACGTGTTGCCTATATTTATTTAAAGTTGCGCGTTTAGATGTGACGTCACATTTCTCCCCCCCCCCCCTCGTCACACATCGTCACAAATGTCTGACCCCCCCCCCCCCAGGTGCGTGACGTCATTTATGGACGGCCCCAAAGTTTTCCCACCTGATGCCGATTGCTTGTGGTGTTGCGCCCGAAACGTCGTGATCTATTATTTTGCTACCCACGTGACTTTACCGAAAGAACCAACGAGTATGGGATTCCTGCAGTCACGAAAGCTTCAAATCTAGATCGAACCACAGTAATAGGTTTTTACCCTTTCAACTGGTACAAAACTGACACCTTTATACAAGGCATCATGTTTGCAATAATCGCAACACAAGCAGTCAAAATGCAAACAAAAAGAATCAACTCTGATAATGATATGCACTGTCCTTGAAGTTGATTGGTCCACACCCGAGACAGCTTTCCTTAGAGCCTAGTCTCCATTGGTGTTGGACCAGATGACGCCAGAAGGCGCACAACTCACAGACAGCGCACTATCAGAGTATTGAGTGCTCGGGGTAAGCATTTACACTGAGACCTCCTTTACCAGTGGCAAAATATAGTAATAATAAAATAATAAAAATACAACAATAAAATTCTCACGACGTTTCGATTGCAACACAAGCAAGCATCATCAGGTGTGAAAACCACAGCCACTTATTTCAAATTCTCACTTACACTATACATTCCACGACTACACACTACACTACTAAATGCTACACTACTATACACTACACCGTTATTAGGAAGCCACTGGAGCTATACACTTTAAATGATCTACATTGACAAACTCCTTTCTTCAGAGACGTTTTGTGTCTTTAGTTTGCTGTTCTTCCCCTCCGCCCCGCACCAACGATTAGCGCGGTCCGCTACATTCTAAAGGAGTGAGCTTTTCTCAATCTCTAGACCAGGGGTCGGAAACCTTTTTGACTGGGAGAGCCATAAAAGCCAAATATATTGCATTGAGAGCCATATAGTATTTTTAACGTATAATAAATTAAATATGTCTTACTTTTAATGCGACTTCTGGTGCTGCGTGGTTTTGCTGATGGCCTTGTAGTAGTCTGGTTCGTACGTGGTGAGGTTGAGCTTCGTGCAGGCGTGACCCGTGAAATTTATTTAAGTATTTTTAAAATCAGTTCCAAACTGATTTTTTTTTTCAACTCAAAATTGTCTGGGAGCCATATGCCGTCATATATGGCTCGCGAGCCATAGGTTCCCGACCGCTGATTTACACTATGAGACATCTCCTTTATTTGCGCGGTGCGGTGTTGAACTTCTTTTACACCGTACGCAGGTAACCGCTCTAATCGGAGGTGCGGCCGTGGGGGGTAAAAAATAAAACACGCGAACTAAACAGAAAAATAAGTTCTAAAGAAATTAAGTTTTCGAATCGAGAAGTTCACAATTTCCGTGGCTTCCTCATGTCACGTGCTGATCAGAATGGGACCTTTGGGGCCGTCCATAAATGACGTCACGCACCTAGGGGGGGGGGGGTCAGACATTAGTGAAGATGTGTGACGAGGGGGGAGGCGTTTGAGAAATGTGACGTCACATCAAAATGTGCAACTTTAAATAAATAAAGACAACGCGTTCTACTTAATTAAATATACTTTTTACTAAATGTTTTCTCCTACAACATCAGAGTGCAGCGCCACATTAAATACGCACTACAATGACAATAGTTTAAAGCGATTTGAAGCATTTTTATTTTTTTGGGGGGGGGCAGAGCTTTATGACGTCATATTTGAGAGGGGGGGGCTGACTTTTTGTGACGTCGTGTGACGCAGGGGGGGAGGGGGGGGTCAAAAATCGTCCAAAATCGTGTGACGTCATTTATGGACGGCCCCTTTGCACACTGCCCATGATGTAGGTTTCCCTTTAAGGCAACACACACACACACAGTGGGTGCTGACAAAACGTGTCCCAAGTTTGTATTTGTGATGACGCACTGCTGCCAGCGTTGCAGCAGCAACATCCGTGACAAAAAGAGCTCATCGGATTCCTCCTGTATGAATATTCTGACGATTCTGATCACTGCAACGCAGTGGCGGCTCCTGCAAAATCTCTCAGGGGGGGGGGGGCAAATGTCTGGATGATTGAAAAGGATAAGGTCCACCCATGCAATGGATAAATTAACAGCTTAAGCATGTAAAGGCAACTTCACTTCTTTAATATTAATGAAAAATAAAGTGACTCTTACAATACATCTTGTTTGTTTCTATACTCACTATTAAAACAAACCACTCAAGCTTATTTTATTAAAGATTCCACTAGGTGGCCACAAATTATATTGTTGGATGAAACGTGCTTACGTATGATGACGTAAGCACGTATGATGACGTAAGCACGTTAGTGCGAGCCCTCCCGGAAGCCATAGAGAATGCATTGGAGCGCCCCCCGGTCGAAAAAAAACATCTTTGAATGTCATGGCTTGGCTTCGCGAACGAAGATCTAGGAAGGACATCCACGTCTTCTGCAGGCACGCTGGTGGCTGAAGAGGCCTATGCGGGACAGGCAGGTCCTGCCACAACAGCTGCAAGTGAAGGTCTCATCTGGGATGGGTGCTGAGGGATCACGGTTCTTCCTCCTTCTCCTTTTGTCCTCCATACGGGCCCTGCGGGTATCTTCGAAGAAGGAGGTGGCCTGGTGGACTGTGTGCCGCCAGGAGTTGCGATCAGCTGCTTGTGTTGCCCACTGACGGTGATCGATGCAGCAAGCAGTGAGGGACTTCTTCAGGGAGTCTATGGGAACACTCTGGGCGATTCTCAGCCAGAGTGAAATCGCCCAAAAAGAGGCGGTACTCCACAGAACGTGACATGACGCTGATTGGACTATATCCAGAGGCACAGTGACGGCTAGCGTGACTCTGTGGTTCAATGACATTGGTGGTGAGTCGCCCAATCGCCCTAATGAAGAAACCGCCCCTGCTGCAACGTAATGTAATTGTGATTGGATGTACCACCCTCACACATTCTTGGCCAAGTTCAATTCCAGGCCTGCAAGTCCATTCCGTGGTTTAAACAAGTGTAGGGGTTATTACGGGAGAAACGGCGGACAACAAACACAGGGCTGTCGGCACTCACATACACGGGGGGTCACACCGACGTCCGCATCAGTTATTGCCCACGCCCCCAGCCCTCGGAGGCGATCCCTATAAAAGGTGGAACCCAAAGAGCTCGGGGGAGTTCGACGCGAAGCTGACCAGTGAAGATCCAAGACTCGGAGATTAGGCCCTGGGACTCCCCGGTCTCGCCGTCCTTATAAGGGCCGAGCCGGGTAAGCCAGTGGCGCGGCCCAAGAGCTTCCAGACCGCTGCCCTTATCAGGGCAAGGCTGGTTAGCTGGTGCCGAGATCTGTGCTTGCCAGGGCCAGATCAGTCAGCCTCCCGTAGCCCAGTAGAGGAGGACTGGGGGACAGGACAGAGGGCTTAGTACTAGGGTGGGTTTCCCATAGTACGGGTGAAGGGGCCGATACCCCTTCAACTATTGTATCTGTCCCGGAGTTAATAAACAGTGTGTCTCAACGTCCTCATCGTCTCCTCATCAACTTACTACATCTGGTGTTGGAAGTGGTCCAAGCATGGATACGAGACGGAAGACTCGTGCCCAAGACCCAGGAGAGGATGACGACGAGGGAGGGGCAGTGCAAGACATCGCCGCCGACGTACCTGCACAACTGCTGCCGGCTCCGACATCGGCGGGGTCGTCGGAGAGGGCCGGGACGTCGACTGACGAGTTGGCGTTGGCTCACTCGCGGCTGGCGGAGCTCTTGTATGCAGCGGCCGCTATGCTGGAACAAATAACTCGCCTGGGGCCGGGAGGAGCGACGCGGCGGGAAGATGGACAACGCCCGCCAGAAACTCCCGCCTTTACAACAGCGGGGCGACTCGAAAATCCCGCCACGAAGACAGTAGGGGCGGAGGGAGGAGTCCCAGCTCGTCACGCGGGAGACGGTGCCCAGCCAGCAGCCGCCACATCATCGGCGGAGGCGGGTCGCGGTGGCGGCCTATCAGGGGTTGAAACGTCACCACCAGCGGACGCCAGCACCGACCAAGCCCCGACCAACACGTCACTGACGGCGCGACACCCATTACAGTCCGCCATTACTCATACAGTACGGGGACGCGCTACGGATGCTGCAAGAGACGCTGCAAGAGGATCGGAGACGGAGCCGACATTCCAGCAACGCCTGCCGGCCCTGCAGGTATTTGTTGCAAGCGACGGCG